ATCGGTGTCGGTGGAATCCCCTCGGGGTTTACAAACGATGAGTGTCGGAGTCGGGTCTGGGACCATCTTCGCTCTTGGTCCCGCAGAAGGGGCAGCTTGAACTCCTTGTGCCTGGTGGTGCTTCACTGCTTTTTAAAAGTAGATGATGTGTATTACTTGTGACGCGAAATAGTCCGAGTTCTGTCTCAGAAATCTCTCTGTAGCGTGTGAGGCTGTGGCTCCTTTGGCGTTAGGAGGGCTGGCAGGTCTTTGGTGGCCTCTGCCCTGCAGGGCTGAACAGGCACCAAGCGAGGTGACAGCTCCGTGTGTCTCGGCGTTCCCGGCGCCTTGTTGCTGTTTGTGGGCGGCTGGCACTGGGCAGCACCAGCTCAGGCGATGACATCTCCGGGCGGACGTGCTGGGAGCCTCGGGACCCGCGTTGCTCCTGCTGTGGGCTGGGTGTCCCTCCACTGGGGCATGGTGGAAACTGGGGCTTCTTCCCAAATGCGTTTTTGGAATCCAGTGGGCTGTGGGATTTGGCATTTTGCTGCTGATAGTGGTGGGGTCTGGAGGAGGAAAGCCCCAGGGCGGTGGCAGGGCCGTGGTGGAGGCTGGTTGCAGTTCAGCACTGGAAACTTTGTCACTCTGGATTTCGTTTTAGTGGCATGTGCTGATAGTTCCCTAGCAGCAGCAGGACCAAGTCCCAGCGGATAAGATAAGGGGTTCCTTTTCCTCCACAAGTGCTCCCTGCTCTTCTGGTGGCAGCTGGATCTGTGCAAGAGCACATCAATGTTCAGTGTGTTATATCTCCTCTGTTTCTAGAACCCTGCCACTGCCCACAAAGGCCATGGAGAAGAGGCTGGAGACCAAGTTCAGCATCAGCGTCCGATTTCTGTCACGAGACTGCCTGGGAAGACCTGCAGGGGAGCTGAGAAGTCTGCAGCTGCTCTACCTGTGTGCTTGCCTGTGTGCCTTGTGCTCCTCAGCAGGTGATTCTTCTGTTCTTTCAGGGACTGTGTCTGTATTTATTATATTTATCCCTCTCATTTGTGTAAAACATTCTGAGGGGAAAGTGAAATTATTTGCTGTTAGACGTTGTAGCTGGTTTAAAAAACAAACCACCCCCCTTAGCAGTTACTAAATGAGCTGCTGAAAGGGCAGAAGAGATGTGGGGCGAGGAGGTCCCCCCCATAGCCAGCTGCTGCTGTGAGTGGCCACGTGCTCAGCAGCAGGGTGGCTGGCTGGCATCCTCACACACGGTGCTGCCTTCCAGGCACCCACCTCTATCTCCCAGAGCTTCCTCTGAGGGGAGAATCTTTGGCCTTGCAAAAGAAACAGGTGATAATCTGCAAAATAATTTCATCTAAGGAATACTCAAAGCAAGTTGGGAAGGCAGGAGCACTATTTTAGCCCTCAGGTGTTTAACACTCTCCCCAAACACAGTATGTCAATAATCTGTATTTGCCTACAGGCAATTGTTGTGTGTGTTTTTTTCATTTCCTGCTCAAACTTGAGTAACCAAACCCCTGCTGAAGTAAATAACCTAGTTAGTGGCTTGTATGGAAATTTTCATGTAATGGATTGTGTGGTTTGTTTGCCTTTTTTGTTTAAAGTTCAGATTCTGACTTTTCAGAGCAACTCAAGTTCTTGTGAGTTCTTCAGAAGGAGGCCACATCATCACCCAGAGGTGCTATTTTTCTGGTGTGTGCATGTAGCATTCACCAGGTCCTAGTTAAGAAAGTTTACATGCCTTTTTTTGCCTTTTTTATTCAAGTTGCAGTGAATTCATAGATCTGTGTCACTTAAGCAGCAGAGTTTAATAAACTGAGGGGGAATTACTGCTGCCTAGAAATTAGTGTGATCATGCAGAGTTATGTAAGAGGAGCTACACTGACATAATTTGGTACATGTGGCAGATTTAAAGAGTCTATAGAGTGAAGTCTTTAATCATTAAATCTGATATCAGGAGGGATTAACTGCCTGGGCAAGTCTGTGAACTTGAGTTTATTAATAGTAACTGTTCTTGTCCCTTCCATTTCCTTGCTGTTCATCAGGGCTGTGAGCAGGATCAGAGCCCCTGAGCTCCTGAGGAGGGCAGTGGGTTTTATACTGATACACTAGGGAAGAAAAAAAAAAGACAAAACAATTAAGATGTGAGTAAACCTATCCACGTGCAGGCATCTTGTGATTTTTTGGTGTTTGTGCCAGGGTGGGTGGGCTGCTGGGGCTTAGGAGGGGTCTCCTCCTCAGGGACACTCCTGCTGATGGGTTTCTCGTGCTGTTCTCAGGAGCTGCTGGTGTTGATGCTGTTGAGGTGTGACAGAGCCCAGGGCTGGGCTGTCCCAGAGAGGTTGTGGAGTCTCCTCTGGAGAGATTTCAAACCTGCCTGGATGCCATCCTGGGCACCCTGCTGTGGGTGAGCTGCTGGAGCAGGGGGGTGGGATGAGATGATCTCCAGAGGCCCCTCCCAGCCCCTGCCATTCTGTGGTTTACTGGCCTGCTGGTGTGACCCAGCCTGTGTGTGGTCCTGTAGGGTCCAGCACAAGGAACTGGAAGGGACTGGGCTGGCTGCTCCCCCAGTGAGCAGGAGTTAACTCTGCTGGTTCAGCTGCCTTCTCTTGTTAAACTGAGTCAGAGTGGAGGAGATCCTCTGGAAATTCCCAGCAGCAGCAGTGTTCTTCAGTGTGCTTCTCTGAGTCTGGAGAGTGTGTGTGTCCATACACACACCTTTTTCTCTTGGTGAGAATTTCTCTTGCAAGAGATTCCCCACCACAGATACCTGAATATGGCCATTGTCCTTCATTTTGAACAAGTGGTTAGTACATGCTGGGTGAGGAAGTCTTCATAGGTGGATAATTTTAATGATTTAATGAGTACAAAAGCTGTTACACCTGCTCTGGTGTGCAGTGAAGTGTCTCCTCTGCCTTCCCCACGTGCTTTCTTTGGTGATATTGATAAAGTCATCAAAGTGCTGAGACTGTCCCTGTCCTCCTGCCCCTGGGGGTGGTGCAGAAGGAAGGAGAACATCTCAGCACTTGTGTGTCACTGAGCCTGGCTGTTAGCTGTGCTGCAGGGTCAGAGTTCTTCCCACCTCATGTTACAGCCATACCTGTTCATTTGCTTAGCTCTGCTCTAGTGAACCTGGCTATGACACCACAGGAAGTCAAGGAGTGGGGCATCAGGGATATTATAAATTGAATTCAGATGATTTTATTTTAATGGAGAAAAAAGCTTTCCTGTTTGTGTTGTGTCCAAGAACTCCATCCTTCACAGACAGGGAGCCAGATCTGGGGTGTATTCTCCAGCTGCACTACTCGAGGGTCCAGCAACACAGTTACATAGTAATCTTCCAGTGACCTGTTATCCGTGGGATGCTGAATGCAGCACAGTTTAACAGTCCCATAGGTCAGTCATCTATTTTTAGGGAGTCCTTAATCTGCAGAGCTCTGAATTTTGGAAGCCTTTAATCCATTGATCCCTGCAAGCACTCTAATTTTTCATGCTGAGGAAAAAAAAAAAAACATCCATATGCAAAGCAGTTGCTGCTTTACCCCTGATGTAAGATCTGACTCTTAAAAAAAACAACCATTTGACATAATTTCTGTTACAGAGAGCTCAGTAGTGGAGGGGGTGGTAGGGACAGGCCTTGCAGAGCTCTGCTCTGGAACATGTAACAACTTCTTAAGTGAGGCAATTTCAAATGGCTTCCCTGAAACAGGAACGTTTCTGGTTTCACTTCTTTTCTTGTAGGTGGCTTTAGTTCCATTATTATCAAAAAGGGTCATGATCCCTTTGGCTGGAGTGCAGATTGTTGCTTAAAATCTTGTCTGAGTACTGGGTACCAGGGGCGAGCACAGATGCTGAGCAGCCCCCAGTTTACTGTCCTGTACTCTTTCTTCTATGTTACTCCTGTGCCCTAAAGTCACCTTGACAATAATGATCCACTGTTTTAAATGACTGAGAATTGTCTTTCTCTCCCATCCCCTTTCCCAGATGGAAACTGGAACAGGTCTAAATGCGAGCCGAGGAGGATCCTGTTTGGCGGCCGTTTGCGACTGGGGGAAGATCACCATTTGCAGCTCCTGGAAGGATCTCATACCGTGTGGTCCTGCCAGGCTGCCTGCTGCCAGAACCCCTCCTGTGATGCCTTCTGGTTCTTGGAAAATGTGTGCATCCAGGTGAACTGCACCATGCCTGCCACGTGTGGTGCAAACAGGACTGGCTCCCCCGACTCTGTTCTGGTGTTTTTAAAGAAAGCAAAAAGCACAGAGCGCTTCTCAGAGCTTCCAACAGAAGGGGAGGTGAAGAGCTCGTTTCACAAGCACTTGGCCTGGGGCAGCCCTGTGCAGAGGGAGAAGAGGCTGCGGAGGTCGCTGCGGAGGTGGCAGGGGGGCAGTGCCAGGGTGGGAAGGGCCGGGGCAGCCAGGCCCACACCCAGCCCCAGCGCCGAGCCTGCGGCCGGAGCAGCCGGCACCAAACCCGGGGGCAGCCCAACTGGAGCCCAGCGTCTGAGGGATCAGGTGCTGAGGCGCTTGGTGGCAGACAGGCCTGTTCCTGAAGACCATCCAAATGAAAAGAAAGAATTGCTGAAAAATGGCCAGAATCCGAGAGAGCAGAAGGCCAAGAGCTCGTTCCCTCCCCAGAGCAGTGACGGGAGCAGGCCGGGTGACACAGGCAGTGCTGGCTTCCCACAGGTAGGTGTGACTGCAGGGGCTGAAATGGGGCAGCCTGGGACAGCCCTCACCCTCCTGCTCAGTCTTGCTTTATGCAGACCTAGACTCAGAACTGCTCAAGTGATAGGACACCTCTCTGGATGCCAATTTTCAGCCTCCTGGCAATAAGGCAAGGCCAAGGGTTGGCGTTTTTGTTTTTTTGATAGATTTCCCTTTCCCCTCCTCCTAGCTAGGATAAACTGTCTTTGAGAAAGGGAGGTGGAGGTCATGATAATGCTTATGCTGTGTATAATCACAGAGTGTACTTGCCAAATGAGAAGGAAAGGTGAGCTGGGATGTCAGTGGGAAGTGCCTGGGCGTTGAAAACTGTTACGTGTAAAAATACCTTTTTAGATCCACAAACCAAGCTATTTTCCTTTTGAGTGCCTAACTGAGGCAGTTAAATACCTTTTTTTTTTATAGACTGCTATGTAGAGTTTCCAGTGTGCTCTCAGGTCAGCCTGCTTGCTTGAGTTGGCATCTTAACGCCAGCTTTTGTGTTCTGTTTTTGAAGACTGCTTCAGCTTCTCAAATTCACCAACGTTTACCTTGGCATTGGCTGAATGAAGCCAGTTTAGTCTCTGCTCCAAACACAGACAGTGTTAAGCTAGTAAATTTAAGCCTTATCATCCAAAACTGCCCATGCACTCCTGATGGTGAAACAGAAAGAATTCTGCTTAGTGAAACTGTTCCTTAAATACATTTTGCCACATTTCTAGGACTTGGCACTGTTGAAGCCTGATGCCTTTTCCTGTAGTTACATTCTTGTTCTGAAACTTGACTGAATTAGTTTCCCTCATGTTCAAGCCTTGGTTCCAGGTAGGGCTGTGCCTGGTCTGAGCCACCACCCAGCAGAGCAGGATGTGGAGAGCAGCCAAGGGACACTGCAGAGTGCTCTGGGGCAGCCTGGGTGTGAAATCATGTACTAAAACTTGACAAATGTTTGACTTTCCAGAACCCCGTAGCATTTAGGGCTCACTCAGGATCTCATCTTTCTCTCCCCCCTGCAGTACTGCAGCATTTCCATCCTGCCTGTTCTTTCCTCCTCCTAATATTTGAGATTTACAGTGACCTCATTCCCTCAGTTTTGTTATGCAATGTTTAGGGAGGCTTCTTCACAGCTAGTCTTAAATATCTTGGGTTGCTCCTGGGTAGCAGTTGTTATATCTCCCTGCTTGTTTTGTTGCATTCTGAGTTGTCATATTATTACTGTTCAGTACCTGTCCAGGAAACTGGTTGCAAATACTAAATTACATGCATTAATCAGCTTCTAAGACCCATCTTTAGGGAGTGCTCCTGTTGTCATGAAAGTGCCCTGTTGGATGTATGCTGGGGAAAGCTTTTTCTTTTCCTTACTGGTTTTTGCTAGGAAGAAAGTCCTTAACTCTTGACAAAATGAAGGTTTGTCAAAATAAAAACCTCTTACTAACATCTGTTGGCTGTGATGGAATTCCTGGCAGTCACATTTTTGAGGTTTAGGATAGTGTTTTTGAGGAGGAGAAAGAATTAAAGAATCCACCTTAATGGGAGTATTGAGATGAAGCTGATCCTGCCCGGCCCTGGGCTAATTCCTTGATTATTGAACCATCCAAATTTCACCTGCAGAACAAGGCAAGCTCTGCAGCTGTCCTTGCCTTTCTGATCTGAGTCTGGTTTAATTTAGGCCAAGGATATAACATTGAAGGCTGTGGACTTGGGACCTGGCCAGCCTGTGCAGGAGGGAGATGCTAGAGCAGGGAGTCTTCCAAGTTTGCATTGGTTATGGGCCAAAAGAAGTGAAGTTACACACATGCTGGAATCAGTAGAATTTCACTTGGGCTGGGTTTGGTCCAGTACAGGGAGCACATGGCTTCAGGAGGAGAGTACTGTGTTCTTCAAGAAGATCTAGAAGGTGGGGACAATGTGGGTTCATTACTGCATGCCAAGCAGTTCATACCTGGGAGCATCAAACATCTGAAGTGGGAAAAGACGTCTGAGGTCAAAGTGACTCTTGACTCCTCTCTAGGAGGGGAGAAGTGAGTGTGTGTGCTCCCCTCTCCTGCTGGTGAGCTGGTGAACGTGTGGAAGGCAGGTCTCTTCCACTGCTCCTGGAGACTCAGGGAGGAGTTGAGGTGAGGTTTTAGGTAAACGTTGCCTCACTGAGGTTAAATTTTCCTCTTGCAGTTCCAGTAGCTCTGTAGCCATCTGCAGAGTCCTTGGCTCACGTGCAGCTACCATTAATCTGTGGTTTTACTCTGTCCACATGACAGAACCAGGGGTGGGTGAAGGAGGCTGTACCAGGTAAACCACAGTGCACCCTGCTCCTCATCCCCTCACTGAGGGGAAGGGATTTGTGCTTTATCCATTAAAGTGAGTGACCTTTTCCAGGTGCCAAATGTTTTTTTCCTGCCTCGTAGAACTACTCATTGATTTGAAAATGCAGCAATGCATTTCCTGGCCAGTCAGGAGATGTTTCAGTGCAGCACTGCAGCAGCTCTGCAGGCAGGATTCCTGCACTCACAGTTCTGGCTACTGTTTGCCCTAGCAGGGCCAGTGTTTGAGTCTTGCTGTCCTGCTTCCTGCTGGTTCTGGGTGCTTTTTACCGTGTGAGGAAGGAGGAAAGGTCTCTTCACAACCACCATGAACTCTGTAATTATTTGTGACATTACCTGTGTTTTTGTCAGACATGACACTTAGTGCAAACAACTGAGGGTGCAATCTAAGCTGAAAAGAGCCTATTTTGTAAATTCAGACCAGGCTTAACAAAGTAAGGCCCACTGAAATAAAAAAAAACGATAATTACAGGACATGCTGGTATTTTTTAAAAAAAAAAAAATATAATTACAGGACACACTGGTATTTTTCTTTCAAGTGCCTTTTTGGTGTGGGTTCTGATGCACATAGCTACTCTAGTTCCATCTTACAGGACTCTCAGACAGGGAGACCAGGTCACTGTTCCCAGGCCAGAGGCAGTTAGGGGTTGGAATCAAGTGTCTGACTCTCCTATGCTCACTCTGGCCAATATGTCACTTCTGTTTTCTCAGCTAATAAGATAGGACAGCTGGCAAACTTCTAGTCTCCTCTGCGTTTATCCCTAAGAATGAAATCTTCTGTTCTTTGCTTTAAAGAATTTAGGGTTATGGAGTAAAGATAAGAAATGTCTCAGCTTGCAAGCATGAGAGGCATTTTTGACTGTTGTGTTGCCCCAGGCAAAGCTTATCTAATTGAAGCTCTCTGCAGACATTTGGCTGTCAATTCATTCTGAAGACTTCTGGGAGGAAGAGGATCTCTCTTAACTGTAAAGTAGGGGGTTTTAGGCATTAAAAAGTGAGTCAAGGAAGCATCTGGCTCACTGAAAATATTACCAAGGAAAGTGGAAACGAGGCTTCTGTGCCCAGGAGGTGGATGCTGGTCTCCTGCACGTTGTTTGTGGTGGTTGTTTTTATGACCCCTCTGGGCTGATTCTAGCTAAGTAAAAAGTGATTTCTCATATTGGTATGAAGTCACAGAGAATTTCTGCTCCTCTGCCTTTCCTAAGAGTGTCTTGAGTGTCTCAATTGTCCAAGTTTCTGCCTGGCTGTTCCTCTCTCATCGTGCCAGCTTTTCTAACTTTATCTTACTCACGTGCTTGGTGAAAGGGAGTTGGTGTCCTGAGCTGCCCAGAGTTATGAATGGGGGTGAGGTGCTGCTGCTTGGGCCAGCCACTGTCCTGAGGCTACTGGTGAAGAGCAACACAGAGCAATGTGCCAGATTTTACCTGTCTTTGTTCCAAAGAATCCATAGTTTTGTTAAAGATAAAGGAAACCCCTTGAGTAAGCAAATACAGAAAACCAGTTTGTCAGAAACACTAACAGATAGTGTTTGATTCTTTGGTCCAGAAACCTCAGATGTTAATCACACAGACAAATGAATTCGGATGTTTTAAATTCTGTGACTGAGGGAAAATTAACTGAGATTTGAGGGGAGGAAATTAATTGCCCAGGACTGGAAAAAAACCTTGCAGAGAAGCCTTCAATGCCTTCATTGCTACTCTTGGCCTGGCTGGCTGTTTAGTACGTGCAGCACAGCTTTAGCTTTACAGCTGGCATTTAGTGTTTTCTGAAGCCCAGCACATTTACTGACCAGGATGTTGCCCACCGTGGTCTAGAGCTTTATTTCCAGTTCCTGTTTCCTGGACAGAATGGCAACAGCAAAGTACAAAAGCTTGAGAATATTTCCTCCCAGATGAGCTTTTAATCAGCTCCTCTAGTGAGGAGTAACAGTGGGCAATTCAGCCCCCAAACACTTCCCAAATCAAAGATGGTAAATTGTTTAATTTTAAATATTTAGCAGATGTTCTCAAAATAGAGACAGCTGAAGAAAAATGTGCTACACACATGTACTTCATGGTGGAAGGTAAATTGTCAAGCACATTGCCTGGCAGGCTAAGAACTGGAATGGGGCTAGGTACTGTGAAAGGAATTTTCTGATGAAGGGAAGGAAATTGTTCCTGCCACTTTGATTGTTTTCAATCAAGTGGCTGATGCTGAATGGATGGGAGCAAACTCTCTGCCTGCCAGCTCAGCTCCCTGCCCCAGCAGCATCTCCTGTGGCGTGCACACAGGGAGCTGTTTCTCAGGTCACCTTGAAGAGTCATCCTGAAATACAATTCCTCCTGCTGCAATGATCCGTTTCTTACATAAAAATGCCATTGCAATCCTCCTGCTTTGTGCCTGCCAACTGCTCAGCTTTAGAAAAAGGAATACATGGCCAAAATAAATGGCCCAAATGAACCCCAGTTCCTGGTCCCTGTTTTTTGATGCTGTCATATCCCACCTCTGTGTTCTTTTAGCTCCAGTTACTGCAGTTTTGAACCTAGACCTTCTGTCACGTTTGACATGTCAGCAGCCATTGAATTTAAGATTATGTAGTTAAATCTATGGTCTTGATTGGTGTTCAGCTGAGCTAGAAGTGGCCTGTATGCTGTGATTGAAGAACGTGGAGAAACAATTCAGATGAGGGAAGCAGTAGTAAAACGTCTTGTTCCTTGGAAAAACAAACCAGGGACTTTTCAGCCTCCTCAGCTGGAGGAGGTGAAGTGCACTGACATTGTGTTCAAGTCAAACTAAGACAACTTCTTCCTTCCCAGATCCACACAGGAACATCTGCACCAGAGCCACTGGTGTTGACTACATTCTCCAGCCCTGTGGCCACAGGGAAGACTGAGAAGCCCGGGCAGCCAGATGATGCTGTGGTCCATCCTCACTCCTCAGAGGTGTTGCCCACAGCCAACCCCATGCCAGTGAAAAGCACAGCAAAGCTGGAGGTGGCTCCTTCTGTGCCAAGTGGAGTTCCCACAAACGGCAGTGTTTCTACCATCCAGACCAACCCTGCTGTGTCCCCAGGCACCACTGCCCCCACACCAGGTGAGAACATGCAGAGCTCCAGCACGTGTCACCCATCTGTCCAGGTTTTGGTGACAAGCCACTGCAGCACTGAAAAATATGGGATTATTTCAGAAATTGTTATCTTTGAGGTGATAACTGAGATACCCATTTCAGCACACGTGCTGGTTGGACCCCAGTAACTCCTGAGGTCTGAGAGTGGGACTTTGGCATCATAAATCTGCATGTGAACGTTGGATCTGTTTCCAAGAACAGCTTGAAAGTAATGATGTTATCTTAATTCCCAAAATGAAAGCTGAGATGTGGTGCAAGGCAGAGCCCTGTGAAGCATTCTGTCAGTAGTCCTGGCACACTGCTATCTGTCAAGCTGAGATGAGATCTTAATGTCTGCTCAGAATGGGATGTGACTGATTCTTTTCTGTCCCTGAAATGTCAATGCACAGTTCAGCCATGGAGAGCAGTGTACTTGGCCATTAGCCCACGCTTTGCTTTGCAGCACTATGATGTTTCTGTTCACACTGGTATTCCTTAAAACAAACTCTTTAAAATGTATAAAAGCCAAAATGCCCTTTGGGCAGCTCTGTCACTCACCCAGGCCATTAGCTCACCCTGTCAGGATCTGTACCTTCAGTGAATGCTGTGCACTAGTTGGGTGGCATCTCAAAATTCACTTAATCCAGTTTGCTGAGGTATTCACAGCTGAATTTCTTTTGAATTTAGGGTTCCTTTCCCTTACAAGGTAACGAATGGAAAGCCTAAAGGAAACGCTGCATCCAAAGTCATTTTTGGCAGGAAGCTCATTGGATGCTTTTGCTAACAAGTTAGAGTTCTTTTTAAGGGCTTACCCCAGCTAAAACTGGAAAATATATTTTAAACCTCTCTAGTGGCTTGTGTTGGAAAAGTAACATAGTCAGGGCCCCCTTGTTTTGCTGGAGAATACAACGATGATGTGAAGGGTGGTTTTTCCAAGTGGGGTTTTGTCTGTTTGGGTTTTGTGTTTTATTTTGTTTTTCCTACTGAGATCAGATATTTTTTATGCCTTGGAGCTCTTTGCAGCTGAAAGACCAATGGAGTTATAACATCCTAAGATCTGAAGTGTTTGAGAGGGGGGGGAAAAAAATGTTGACATTTTTTCTTTTAGTTAACTGGTTAATTCCAGTAACCAATAAACAGATGGAAGATAAGCTGAATGTTTTATGACATTTTCCCCATTTTTTTTAACCTGGATTTTTTGTGCCTATCTCTGAAATGTTGTCTTTGACAGGGTCAAATTACAGTAAAGCAACTTTAGTTCTATTTTTCTCTGCATAATTCCCAGGCCCAATAATAAAAAGACAAAGGAAATGGGAGAGAAAGAGGAGTATGAGGAGGCTGAGGGGTACTCTTAAGAAATGTGATAAACTTTGTTTACCTTAACACTAATAAAAATGTCATGGGCCATAGTTTTCAAGTCTTTACCCTCTAGTCTTTAAAACCAAACTACCCATCAATTTATTTGAAATGGAATAGGAAGAAAATTCTTAAGCAGAGGTTGAAAAGATAGAAATAAAAGGAACAGGTTTGTATTTTGAGTCTCCATACTCAGGGCAGTAGCTATGCAGATTTAAAAAAAAAAATCTCTTTGGCCCCAAGCAGTTTTTAAAAAAAAAAAAAACCAAACCATGGATTCTTCATGTATTTGTGAAGATCTGGAATTGCAGGTTGGTAAATAGCAGTGTTTGTCATGCTGTGCCATGAGGCTGCAGCTGGGTTCTCTGCTGAAAACCCGTCAGGTAAAATCCTTCCACGGGTGAATAGATTCCCCTGTACAGGGCCTGAGGGTCGTGTTTCAACTCCTTACAAGAGGAGCAGGAGCTGCACAGTATCTGCAAAGAAAGAGAGATGACTGAGTAATTTTGGGCTTGTCTCAAAGTTGTAAAACCCCATTAGTGCTTTGGCTCTAACAATGAGAAGGAAACCTGAAACGGGAACTATATTGAGTGACGGGGTGTTTATAAAATACACTCATTTGTGGCTGTCTTCTATTCCACAGACTGAAACCAAGGTGGCTTTTATGTACATATTTAATTTTTTTTTTTCTCCTGTTTGGCTTTCAATTCTGTTTCTCCCTCTCAGCTATGAAGGAGCTGGTGGTTTCTGCTGGAGACAGCGTTGAAGTGACCCTGCCAAAGAATGAAGTTCGGCTGAACGCGTTTGTGCTTCCTGAGCCACCACCTCGTAAGGCTTCCCTGGGAATTCTGCTGAGGGCTTGTGCTGGTGAAATGGCAAATAGGCTTTATACATGACATCAAACAAGGACAATCTCAGAAATGTCTTTTATCAGAGAGCACTTCCCTGTAGAAATTCTTCAGCCTGTGCTCTTGCCACATGCTGCCTCTCACAGAAAACAGCGGGAGAGAAAACACTGCAAGTGCTACAGAGTCCTTAGATTTGAGAGGTGGTGTATTCTCAAAGCAGTGGATCTTCAGCATCTCTTTGTGATGTTTACCAGTAGGTGACAGGCTGTCTTTGCAAGTGATCTCTTGTTTGGTGGATTGAAATCTACCTGGGGGGATTGACACGCTGAGGGACACGTTTCTGTACGGTCCTCGTTTCATCATGCAGGCTGTTCACAGGTATTGGCAAAGTTCTCACCTGTAGCTCTGGCCACAGGGCAGTGGGAGGCTACAGAGGAGAGGCAAGTGTGTCACCTTGTGCAGCAACAGGGATATGTGTGTTCCTGTTCAAAACCTGGCCTTACTAGTGTCTGCAGGATTTGAGGGCATGATAAGACTTTTCTCTCCTATTATCCTGGAGCTGCAATTGTTCCAAAGCTTTTTAATGACTTAGAGGCTGAAAGATGGATTTTTGGCTTCAGAGTAAATGTGTTTAGAAGCACAGATTGTCTCTCTTGCTGGGTATATTCCCAAAAAGATGCAGCCCAAATTCCAAGCTGTCTCATTTCTCCATAGTGCAGCAGAATGTGCCTTGTAAATGTTTAATACCTCTGCTTTTCTGTGGCATGGCAGAAAGGCAGTCTGTTAAAAATAAACATCTGGTCTTTTTTTTTTTTTAAGGAACCACTTATTCCTATGAGTGGGAGTTGATTACTCATCCAAAAGACTACAGTGGAGAAATGGAAGGGAAGCACTCCCAGACCCTTAAGTTATCCAAGGTAAAGCTTTTGCTGCTTTGTATCCTGTTGTGTTAAATGCCAAGTGGAGAAGATGGGGACCCTGGCATCCAGGGAAGACTTGTGTGTGATTTCAGGATGAATAGGAAATTGTGAGGTGGGCAGGCAGCCAGCATTTGACTGCAAGCCCTCTTCTAAGTCTCTTATAAAAAGGAGATTGATCTGGCAGGAGGCAAAGAAGAAATTGATTTCAGGATCTAAAAGCTGCCCACAAGCACTGTGTCAAGCCATACAAATGGCACAATTCAAGATTAACAAAGGGTTGTGAATATTTCTGCTGCTGAAACAGTGTGATGGTCTGTTTAGGTTTGAAGCCTTGTACTACCCCTTGAAAAAGGGACTTGATTCCATAAACAAGAGCTGGGAAGGACCTTGTAGCATGTCCCTGGCTGCTGCTTTTAGACAGCAGTGAAAGGGTTGCTGGTTTCTGCACATGGGGATTCTTAACAAGGAAATGGCTTGAAATATTGGGTGAATATGCAGTTCTGAATATACAGTATTTATGAGACATTCCTTTGAGCATCTTGGATTCTGCTGCACTGAAATCTACAGGTTTTAGTCCTGACACCATGCCAAGAAAAGCCCTTCCAAAGGAGCCTGTCCACCTCTGTCAGGGCTTCAGCCTTTTGGATATCGTGGTTGTTTGGCACCTAGTCCTCCACCCCCTCATCTTGGTCCAGCAGTGAATGATGGAGGGGTGACTGCCTGACTTGTATCACCTAGAAGGAAGAGAAGAAACAGTTTCCTTTGTAAAAACATACAATAAGATTCTTTTTTTTTTCCTCTTACATGCAGCCTTTTCTCATCTCAAATGCAATCTGCTAGTACAGATTCCTGTGGCCAGACAACCTGAACTAATCTCTGTTATCTCTCTGCCATTGGCATACTGTTGCTAGAAAATAAAGCTTGACTGACAATCCTGTGGTAGAAAGAAATACTAGCCTTTGGTTTCTGCAGAGCCATTGTAAACTAAGTGATATGTTAAAACATTTTGGCACGGAAACCATTTTTTGTTGTGTCCACGCAGGCTGAAGTATAATTGCCTGTGTTTTATGCTGTTAATGTGCTCCTGTGCCACAGCACAATAACTTGACCTTCGAATAGCTCTTGACAAGGTGCTGCCATCCTGAAGGTAAATAATCTGTCTTTGGTTCAAGCTCACTGTGGGTCTGTACGAGTTCAAAGTCGTCGTTGACGGGGCGAGCGCCCGTGGAGAGGGATACGTGAACGTCACGGTGAACCCGGGTGAGTTGGTGGAACTGCATCTTAACCTCACCTGCCTCCCTCAAACCATCCCACCTGGGTCGTGTTGTGCTTTGACTGGACCCTGGTTTCACACAGTGAGAATTCATTTTGCTGTGAACTCAGGATATGTGTATGAAATCATTTCCAACCACTCAATAAAGGGGCCAGAATACCAATAAGAAAGTGCTTAGCCAATGCCTTGTCCTGCAAGGCCACTGCAGGAAAACTCACTGTAACAGGGTGAAAAGCTTATAGCAGCAGGAGCAGAAAATTAAGAGAAGCCAGAGCTTTGAAGCTTCTTTGGAGGTTCTTTTGTTCCCTGTCCAGTAAAGAATATAATTCCCAGCCACAGGCAGGTGAAGTCAAATCTTGTTGCTTACTGTAAGATGTGGTTTGCAGAGGGGCTGGTGTGGGTACAGCAGCTTCTGCTGTCTCACCAGGTCTTGCTTTTAGATGCTCTGTGTAAAGATACAATCACAGGTCCTTTTATGGGAAAAAAACAAAACAACACCACACACAAAACCCAACCCAACCCTTTGTTTTGCACACTTCAGCCAGACTTTTCTACAACCTTTGTGGGCAAGGAAGTGTTCTTGCACTCCCTAAATTAGCAAGAGCGTGTGACTGACCTTCTGGATGCTGTTGCTGATCATTTCCTTATAAGAAGTGAATCTGCTGCTGGCAGCATGCATCAAAATCATTCATTTTTCAGAGCAGCAGCCAAACTTTGGCAAGAAGCTCTAGGTGCTGCTCTGTTAGAATGGTCTGTGAGAGCTTGGCCTGGTAAGGGAGAGCTGATGCTGTGCAACCGTTTCCAGAGTACTAGTGTGGTGGCAGCTCTCTGGCTTTTTTTAAATCCCTTTTGTTAGCACTCCTGTGGTTTTGCAGAACTCCTCTGCCAGGGCTCTCTGCCGTGATCTGCCTGTAGATGTCATTGTAACAGTGATCTGCCTGTAGATGTCATTGTAACAGTGATCTGCCTGTAGATGTCATTGTAACAGCTCGGTTGTTGTTGCAGAGCCTCGGGTGAATCAGCCTCCTGTTGCCATCGTGTCCCCGCAGTTCCAGGAGATTTCACTGCCAACCATCTCAACTGTCATTGATGGCAGCCGTGAGTACCTGCAGCTGGAGGTGCAGTAGGCTGGCAGGCCTGGTTCCTGTCTGTTTGGTATCCAAAGCTGGGCCTTTGGATAGAGTTTAAGAGACACTGTCAAAGACACCAGAGGGCAAAGAATCATTGGGACAGGGGAATACACACGTGACAGCACCTCTCTCTCCATATTTACTTTTGAAAGGCACTGGCCTGAGCTGATCTAACAAAGAAAAAGCTCTATAAGTTGCTGCTTAGGATAAATTACTGTCAGTCAAAATTACTCACCTTCTGTGTTTGCTAGCTAATATATTTGAAGCCTATCACATAACCTTTACTGACTCTGGCCTAAACTAGAGCTTTGTGGGTGTTTCTTTTAAAAAGCTCTATAAATTGCTGCTTAGGATAAATTACTGTCAGTCAAAATTACTCACCTTCTGTGTTAGCCAGCTAATATGTTTGAAGCCTGTCACATCACTGACTCTGGCCTGAACTAGAGCTTTGTGGGAGTTTCTTTTAAATATGTGCAGGTTCTTACACCCAATGAGTGTTATTTTGTTAGTGTTTGGGGTTTTTGTCTTTCCATAGCACACGTAGAAACCTGGAGTTAGGGGTGTTTGAGTGTACCTGTGAAACAAGCTGGAGGAGACTGTTCAGTTGGGGTGTCTGAGCATAAGAGAGACCTTTGGGTTTGGACCAAAAATACCTTTGCCCACTGAGCCTAGTGCTGAAATAGGAGCCTGACCATCTGAGGTTTGTGAAGCAGCATTTTCCAGCTCCTTTTATGTGTGCTTTTTTCTTCTGTAATTGAAACAGAAAGCACTGATGATGATAAAATTGTCAGCTATCACTGGGAAGAGCTGAAGGGTCCTTTGCGGGAGGAGAAGGTTTCTAGCAACACTGCCATCCTGACACTGACCAACCTGGTACCTGGGAATTACACATTCAGGTAGGTTAGACCCAAAGGAGTCCATCAGCTCTCATCCCTTAAGAGTAAAATGTACAAGATTCATGAAGCATTAGTCTGGTTTAAACAGAAAAATGAAGGGAACTCTATTTTACAATGTACTTTCTTTCCACTTTGGTGCTTTCAGGTAGTTCCATAGCCTTTCACTTCAGAAGAGATAAGCTATCCAGCTGCTTTTTATTCCAAAGCTGTAGCACAGGTATGAGATGATGGCAGAAGGGAATGGATGGTCTGCCAGTGCTACAAAATGTCTCTTGAAATGTCAAAGCTAAACTGGGTAAAGGCTTCTGCAGAAATGCAGTCCTTAAATCCAATTTCTGAATGCAATGTGTTTGTCCAAGATAAGTGAATGAGGCCTAATGCTTTTATGGATGTACCTGATAGATTTTGCTGATTTTGCTTCAGTGTCCTATGTGTTAACTTTGGTCTGCATTCTGGTGTGATGCCCATGCACTGCATCAGCCAATCCAGTTAAAATAAACCTGAGTTCCTGTAGCTGAACACTGTTTTCCTCTTAGTTGGTGTATGAGCTGATGAGGTAGATGTTCAGATGTAGATTTAGCAAAAGCCAGTTCTGTTTCATGGCACTGCCTGAGGAGGGATTCTGTGTTCATGCCACTTGTGGGTTTGGAATGAACTTTTGTGCCCACATTAATGCCTGTCTCCCCTTGGGAGGCAGTGCCACATGCACAGGTCTCTTCCATCACAGCTCTGTATGTGAAGCTGATGATCTTTCACTAGCTTTTCTCTGGGAACTAGTTAGTAGAATTCAAGTGAGAGATGGATGTGACTGTTAAATTTCCTGCATTGCTTTGGGGCTGGTAATTGAGCGTTTGGGGGACAGTTTCTATTCAGAAGAAGCATAGTTGACTCAAACCATTGTTTTTTTTAACTCCTGAAAAAAATTACTATCCTCTCCTTAAAAGTGTCTTACGTTTCTAACTCTTCTGCATTTCTTTTGCCTCCAGCCAGTGATTTGTATTCAGCTCTGATAATCATGACTTTTCATTGCTTTCTCTTTCATGTTTTTTTTTCCCCTCTTCAGTCTAACAGTAGTGGACTCAGATGGTGCCAGCAACTCCACCACTGCAAACCTGACTGTGAACAAAGCAGTGGATTATCCTCCAGTGGCAAATGCAGGCCCAAACCAAGTGATCACCCTGCCTCAGAACTCCATCACCCTGTATGGCAACCAGAGCACAGATGATCACAGCATCGTCAGCTACGAGTGGCTGCTCAGCCCCAACAGCAAAGGGAAGGTGATGGAGATGCAGGTCAGTGCAGGCCTCTGGTTCTCAGCCTGGATTACTCACTAGCTGGCTTTTTTTTCCCTGTAATCAAGTGATTTTTAATTGACTGTTAGCAAATGTCTGTCATAATCCTACAGAGCAAGCATGTGATGATTAAATATCTCCTTAAAACTAAATCCTCATGGAGTGGATACTGGCTTAGTGGCTGAGCTGGTGCACCAGTCTAGCCATGGGTTTTCACTGGCATCCTGTCTCCTTTCCTGAGCAATGCAGTTTTAAATACTGCTGAAGAATGGAGGGTTGAGAGAGGTGGGAACTTGATGGCTTTGGATTTTTATGTCCCATACAACAAGTCTCAGCACAACTTGATCACACCCGTGTATCTCACTTCAACCTCTGTTAGGGAGTGTTCTTTCTCTGTGTAGCTGCTGACTTCTCAGAACATCAGTGATACTAAATCAGTGGGGATAGAATAGGGATGCTTAAGTGCTCTCAGGAGGTGTGGAAGCCAGACTGTGTGATCTTTTAGGTAACCATTGGTCAGGGTGACATTTAGATGCACAGATAACCCCTTGTGCCAGGTCATGCATTTCCTAAGCTGGGCAAACACAACAGACTTGGATATTTTGAGTTGGACTTTGGAGTCTGAACTTTGCTCATACTGGCTAGACACTCCTCAGCCCTGAACAGTAAAAGTGGGAACTCATTTCCTTGTCATCATTTTTATTTTAAAGATTATTAGTACTGTCAAATTTATGGAATAAGAAAGTCCATGAATCAGGCTCATAATGTGTATGGTTTGCACAGGGCTCCCCAGAGGTGTTGCTGGAGTTGCTGACTATTGAATCCCAGAAGGTTCAACACCTACCTGGTGTTCCTCTTACATTCCACAGCAGTGTCCTTGTTTGCTGTGCATAAATTCAGCTGTAAGCACCTTGCCACCTTAAGTGGCACAGACTTCTGGCCCCATAGCAGGAGGTAGTAATAAGCCCCTGGAATCTGCTGATAATAGTTGTTTTAGAAGCAGAGTCTTCTGGTCTGTCATCATCAGTGTAAGGATTCTTTTAATACATGGATATGTTTTCTCAAAGGGGGTGAGGACACCAGTCTTACAGCTCTCTGCATTGCAAGAAGGGGATTACACCTACCAGCTCATAGTGACTGATTCTGCTGGGCACCAGTCCACTGCAGAGGTCACAGTGATAGTCCAGCCAGGTAAGCTGCCTTCAGCTGCTTTTGCCACTTCTCTTCCAGGGGTTGGAGGTGAGCATTGGGCTGTCAGCATCCTCTAGATCTTATGGTAGCTTTGTGTGGCTTTCAGAAAAGCTGCTGCCATTCAGGACCCTTCTGGGCTGCTGTAGTGATGACACATGAACAAAAGAAAGCTTTTAGGAATATTGCCCTTCTAGGCTGCTCTCTTATTTTACACAATACAGTCTCATTGGTGTTATCCCACCATAATAGCAGGACTGTATTTCCAAGAAGCTGTCTCTGCCCACAGTGCTAGCTCCTGGGACAGGAGCAGGAAGAGTGGAGTAGTACTTGAAGAGCAAGACCAAAACATCAGAATTTCATTCTGAGTTCATGATATTATCATTGAAATTTCATTATTTCATTCTCATTTTATTGCAGATGTGTGAATGAAACCCTGATCTGAACTCTTAGCTGCTTTTAATGTCACTTTCTCTGAGTTTAAGGTTGAGATAGTGGGCAAAAAATATGTTGGGGATTGTGAAGAAAATTTTTAATTTTAATGCTGGGGTTTTAAGCTCCACCTATTATGTCATGTGTATGAAAAATATTGCATCCTTTTTCAGAGAACAATAAACCCCCAAAGGCAGATGCTGGTCCAGATAAAGAATTAACCCTTCCTGTGGACAGCACCACTCTAGATGGCAGCAAGAGCTCAGATGACCAGAAGATTGTCTCCTTTCTTTGGGAAAAAACACGGTGTGTGTCATCCTCCAGACTGTTCTTATGCAAGTACTTGGGTCTTTCATTTGGCACAAGACACTCCCACATACCTCCCTTGCCTGAAGTCCTGGTCACACTGGGCCTGACAAGCTTCACCAGTGACTAAAGTGAGACAAGGATTTATGTTTATTTGGGGAGGGTGGAGTTTTGTCTGAGCACTAGAAGTAGCTCTGCCATCCTCTCTGGGCCTGATTCCCATTCTCAGTGTGATTGTGGCTTGTAAAGGAGACAACTATGTTTGATTCACAGCAGTGTAGCTTGGTCTTATGAAGACATTGACCTTGTAACCAACAGCAGGGCCTTCTAACTGATGTTCCTCTCATCTCGTTGTCACACTTCCCTTCAGACTCTAAATCCCCTGAAGTGCTTCAGGGAATCCAGGAAAAAGCCAGCAACTTGCAGTAGCTTTTTTTGTTTGCTGATGCAAAGTCTGTGAAAAGCTCTTACAAATGAAGAAACTATTTTTGCTTTATAACTTTTCTCAAAAAAAAAATTGGCTTATTGTGCAGTTCATGAGCCAGTTTTGCTGAAAGTGCCACTTTTTGTAAACTCTACTTAAATGCTGGTATTGGTGCTTCCCTGGTTTAAAAATAACCAATGCTAGACCACCAGAAATTATACTTTTTATTCTGAATGCTGCACTTACTGTTTTATCTTGCAGTAATTGGAGAAAACAGTTTTGCTTTTTGTCATGGACTGTATATTCCCAGGCAGTTGTCCCCATAAACTCTGAGCTTGAGCCTTCTGCTTGGTGTGAGACTGATTCCCATGGTCTGTGCAAAGTTTAAACCAATCCTCTTGTGCTTTGGTTAGGGGCCCAGATGGTGTCAAGCTGGAGAATGCCAACAGCAGCATTGCCACTGTAACAGGCCTTCAGGTTGGGACCTACGAGTTCACTCTGACAGTGAAGGATGAGAGGAACTTGCAGAGCCGAAGCTCGGTCAACGTCATTGTCAAAGAAGGTATGTGAGCTGTGAGCAGAGCTGCCTGGGACACACATTCTCTAGTTCAGCAGTGAGCAGTTCAGCAAAACCTGTGTTCACACAATAAGACTGAGAAATGGGTGAAAAATAATGTGGAGGGTACTGATATGGCCTTCTCTAAGTTAGGGGTTTACCCTTTTCTGGAGGAACATCTTCAAAGATGCTGAGGGGAACGGAGCAACTTTCTGATGAGGAAAGGCTGAGAGCCCTGGGGCTATTCAGCTTGGAAAGAGAAGACTGAGAGGGGATCTGATCAATATCTAGAGGTCCAGGGGCAAGAGGCTGGGGCCAGACTCTTGTCAGTGGTGCCCAGTAACAGGACAAGCGGCAACGGGCACCAACTGGAACCCAGGAGGTTCCATGTGAACATGATAAACTTCTTTACTGTGAGGGTGCCCAAGCCTGGAGCAGCTGCCCAGAGAGGCTGTGGAGTCTCCTTCTCTGGAGAGATTCCAAACCTGCCTGGATGTGACCCTGGGCACTCTGCTGTGGGTGAGCTGCTGGAGCAGGAGGGTTGGACCAGATGATCTCCACAGGCCCTTTCCAACCCCACCATGCTGGGCTTCAACTGAATCCCACACTGCATTTCCCTTCTCTTGCCCAGGGTTAGGTAGGGATTTCAGGATTGCAGTGGAGATGTAATGCAGTAGGTTTTGGTGGGGTGTTACCAGATTTTTCTCCAACCATGTTCTTTCTGTTTGCTTAGAGATAAACAAGCCACCTGTTGCAAAGATTGCTGGCAACGTTGTCATCACGTTGCCCACAGATACAGCAGAGCTGGATGGATCAAAGTCCTCTGATGACAAGGGAATTGTCAGCTACTTGTGGACCCGGGACGAGGGCAGCCCTGCAGCTGGGGTGAGGTTTCTGTTTTAAATGCCAGTTCACATCATCACAAAAGTCAGAGAGGTAACACTGACAGCTCCTGAGGAAATGTAAAGCTGATCCTTGTACCTGTTACCTTGTGGTGATGCCCTTAAGTATGATGATGTGCCATCCTAGTGCAATCCTTTGCTTCCAATAACACATTTTGCTCTGCCTTGCAGGAAGTCTTAAATAATTCAGATCATCATCCTGTCCTCCTCCTGTCCAATCTGGTAGAAGGCACCTACACATTCCACCTCCGAGTGACAGATGCCAAAGGAGAGAGTGATGTGGAAAGGACCACAGTGGAAGTCAAACCTGGTGAGTCTTGGTTTTGTGCTGTACCATATTTGCTTACAGTGCACCTCTGTTTGTCTGAATACAGCTTACTGAGGTTAAAATGTGGAGTCTAGTCCAGCTCAAAACCATAGAAGTCTAAAGTTTTGGGGAATGTAACTGTATTTTCATGTGGCTGTTGGGGGCTGACTCTTAGTGCTTGACATTACCTGTGAAAATCATAGACTTGTGTCCCTTCCTGCAGTGTGGTTCTGTAATTTCATGTCCAGAGCAGAAACATTCTGGAAAGAATGTACCCAGAGGGGAGGAAAAAAAAAAGGCAAACAAACAAAACCAAACTAGAAACCTGTACCTGTACTTCAGGCTGTTTGGCTGAAGTTCTAAAGATCCATATTATCTACATTCTCACTAGATCCTAGGAAAAACAACCTGGTGGAGATCATTCTGGATGTTAATGTCAGCCAGCTGACTGAGAGGCAGAAGGGGATGTTCATCCGCCAGATAGGGGTTCTGCTGGGGGTCCTCGACTCAGACATCACTGTGCAGAAGATCCAGCCCTACACTGAGCAAAGGTAGGGTTTGTCTGTGAGGGCCTGGAGGGGAACTGCTGGAGGGTTTCGTGTAAACCAACGTCTGTTTTCTCTTGGGAAGCAGATTGGACAATCAGAATGTGCGGAGATGTTGCTTAACATTGATATTGCTGCTTGCTCGGGTCAGAGAAGGTTCATGGCCAAGCAGGTCTTGGGTATCTTCCCAGCTATTTATAACTGGAGAAAGAGGGGGGCTTGGTGCAGGAGTAGTTTGGTGACCCACTGACACTGCAGCACAGGAGGTGGTGCAGGAAGGCCCCGAGCTCTGCCTGCCAGCTTTGTAGTTTTACATGAGCTTTGCTGCCAACACAACTGCTTCAATTAATGTAAAAAAATGTTGAAAATCAATTTCTTTTCTGTTTGAAGATATATAGCAATCAAATCCAAGATTTCCTTTTTACAATAAACTACAGCTGGTCATTTCTAAGCAAGCAAAACTCTGCTTATAGGCAGGGCTGTAGGCCAGGGTCGTGCTGCCTGCCTGGACAGTGTCACTGTCCAGGAGAGTGGAAGAAGCTTCAGCAGCTGGAGCTGTCGTGTGGTCACAGCAACAACTGCACGTTCCTCTGTAGTGACAGCAGCCTGTCACTGCTGTAGGTGTGTTTGAGGATGCATGAGCACAAGCAAGCAGCATGGCAACAAGATTATCAAGGTCAGAGCAGTAAGCAGCTGAAAATAAGTGCAATATTGCACTTAATTTTTACTAAAAGTAGTGTAGTTTTAAGGTAGATAAAGCACTGAAAGAGATATAAGGGATGTGCTTAAAGTCATGCAGCAATTCAGCAATAAATCTGCAGTTACACTTCACACTTTCCTGAGTTCAGTAGTGTATTGATTCCTTCATGTCCACGTTGTCTGCTGTAACAGTAAAATCAGAATTCATTGTCTGTGCAAACCTGAGGAGCTGAGAACAGAAGAGCCAGCACTTTCTGTGGTAATGTCACCTGTCTGTCTGCCATGAGCAGCCCAGTCACCACCATTCCTTACTGAGCAAGGCAAGCAAGGGATCCTTGTAGTTAATGCTTCATCTGCTTGTTTATTAAACAGACAGAAGAGTGGGAAGTGTTATAAAAGAGCAGAGACTATTTTGTGACAGATGGTTTTAAGACTCCATCTTTGCCTCAACTATCAAAGTTTGAAAAAGGTCTTTTTTTCCCCTGGCTGCTCTTTTTCCCACATACTCCCAGGGCTTCACTGATATCCTGTTGACTCATAGGCTCACTGGTAATAATGAATCTGAAACATCCCTGCATCCTTTTGTGAATCCAAGGGATACAGAGTGCTCTGCAGGGCTAGCAGGCCTAGGGGAGCAAGTTCTTCTGCTGTAAAGTTAATGCAATAAAAGATGCAGAATACAGCAGAATCCTCTACACCTGGGCTTTTTGTTGGCTCTAACACTTTGTGCATTCAAAGGAGGGCTTGCAAAAGACTGTAAATCTTCATCTTCTCTGTGCTGAGCAGTTAAAGGAGCCCACTTGTAGTAAGGCCTGAGGATCCCACAGGGAGAGAGGGGAGAGGTTATGAACATGGTGGGACCTTAGATGTCCAGGATTTACAAACTCAAGAACAGTCCAGCCCTAGCTTTGAAAATAGGGATGGATCAGATGTGCTGAAGGGTTTTCTGCTGTATGACCAGCTCTACCATTATTGCCTTCAAGATGGAGACAGAAGTCTTGTCTTCAAATAAACTTGTGATTCGGGCTCCATCTCCCTGGCGGGCGGCTGGGGAGAAGGGCTCTGTGCCTGAAGTTTGGAGAAGCAGCAGGTGATGGTTGTTCTCTGACTTGCAGCACGAAGATGGTGTTTTTTGTGAGGAACCAGCCCCCCCATCAGATATTCAAGGGCAGAGAGGTGGCCTGGGCACTGAAGAGCGAGCTGCGGAGGCAGCAGTCAGACTTCCTCATCTTCCGGGCGCTGGAGATCAACACAGTCAGTGAGTGAGGCCCCTGCTACGAGCCAGCCTCCACCTCTGCCTCTCCTCAGCTGCCTGCCCGGGCAGGGGCAGCCTGCATCCCTGCATCCTCCAGCAGTGTGCCTGTGTTAGTGCATGGGAAGGCCTCTTAGCCTGCAAATTAACGAGTTATCGATTCTGTCTCTCCCCAGTTCAGCTGGGTGTAAATGGTTACTTGTGATGTTGCCAGGAAGATAAGAATTCATTAAATCAAAAGCAGGTTGATACTTATGGAACTAAATTATAATGTTAGTGGAATACAGCCAGAGACTTGAGTGTCATACTGAAAGTATTAAAACCACAGCTCTTGCTGGGTGTGAACATACCCATTTCCTCTGCAGCACGTCCAGCAGGCTGAAGGAAATGTTTCTCTTCTATCATCTTTTGTACAACTTTACAGTAGCACTGTTTCTTTTGAGCTCCATTCTATAGGGATCACTTGCTGATCCGTTAGATATCTTAAGCTAGAATTATATAATTATTTTAATGTCTCCCTGACTGTATGATTTTGTGGCCTTCAAAAGCCACTCTTCAGTCCTGTCTGGTCCCTTTAAAGGATCTCTTTGTTACTTATCTGTCTCACGGGCTGGGTTTGAATTTGAAAATCAAAACCTTATTTGAAACCATTTACTTAACAAGTACACAGAACCTTTTACTTAAATACACCAATTCCATAACTTTTCTATCAAAACCATTATGGGCAAACTTTTCTTTTTTGAAAAATATTATCTGTCTCACGGGCTGGGTTTGAATTTGAAAATCCAAACCTTATTTGAAACCATTTACTTAACAAATACACAAAACCATTTACTTATACACCAATTCCATGACTTTTCTATCAAAACCATTATTGGGCAAACTTTTCTTTTTTTCAAAAATATTGTGTGTTATGCAGTGAGTGGGGTTTTTTTAGCTCAATGTGAGGCCTGGGTGCTTGTGACTGTGGCTGAGCTATAGACGAAGCACAGAGTGACTGGGTTCGAGCTGGAGCCTGTGGCATGGGCCGTACTGAGCTGTGCTGTGCTGTTTTTGCCTGGTGTGGCAGCCGTTGAGTTCACCTTGCTGGTTTTGGCCCCCAGCCTGTCAGCTGAACTGCTCGGAGCACGGGCGCTGCGACTCCTTCACCAAGCGCTGCGTCTGCGACCCCTTCTGGATGGAGAACCTCCTCAGGGTGCGCATGGGGGACGGCGAGAGCAACTGTGGTACGTGCAGCCTCCCCGGGACTGCCCACCCTGGGGGGGCAAGCAGGGCTGGAAACCCAGGGCCCTGCTGTCTCCCACTGTCTCAGCCTGATGCTCACACCAGGAGGTGGTCCCTGTCCTGGTCTCAGCACACTGACCGTCTAGGCAGGTGGTGTTCGGGGAAGCAGCTCCTCTTCAGACCCTCTCAGTGAGCACTTGCCAAGAGTTGAGTGTGTTCCTAGTGTATAAATCACACACCTCTCTTCTGCTGTGCCCCAAGAGGCTTTCCTGCCACGGGAAAGCAGATTGTATACATCAACACATGTTGAAAAGTGCCCACGTGTGGCCAGTCTGTATGCTGGATCTCGAGCCTCTGGCTTCCATAGGTGAGTCAGTGGTGCTGTCAGTGGTGGACACCAGCCTCCAATCCTGCAGAGGGTCAGGGCTTTGTTTCTTTTTCCCAAGAATAGCCATCTGAAGTGCACACTGTCAACTGTATAAGGTGCCAAACTGTCTTTATCTCTGGGGTGTTTTGCTTTCAGAGTGGAGTGTGCTGTATGTGATCATTGCATCTTTCCTCATTGTGGTTGCCTTTGGAATCTTATCCTGGATGGTGATCTGCTGCTGCAAGAGGTGGGACTGAGGCCATAACCCTCACTCTATCAGTGCTTCAGAGCCAAATAGCTGCATTAGGAGGTGAAAGATTCAAACTCATTGTCCCAGCAGGTCATCTGCTTAGCCCTGGGATGTTAGTTTTTGTCACTCCATGTTTGAAGTGAAACATTGAAGTCCTAGAACTCTGGGTTCAGTTAGGAAGCAAGATTTGGATTAGCCTGTAAATGTGCAAGTAAAGAAATGCTTATAACGTTTTGCTTTGTGATATAAACATAATCTGAAATAAGCAAGTACTCTGGCTTTGAAGCTCAGAGTTTTTTTCTTCCTGCCTTTAAATTCCTTTTATTCCCCTTTAGACGAAAAGGAAAATCCAAAAGAAAAAGCAAATACAAGATTTTGGATGCAACAGATCAAGAAAGCCTGGAGTTAAAACCAAATCCCAAAGCAGGTAAAACATGAGAGGGAAGAGCTCAGCATTTCCAGAATGCTGACTAAGAAGACTCTTCCTCAGTGGACTTAAAAATCACAGTGTGAAACAAACGTGATGTTAGGCTCTGGCAGAGGAGTCTCAGAAGATCTAAGAGCTTGTTTCAGACCTGTACATGGGGTATTCAGCCAGGTTATTTAGGTCTCTGGTTTAGAAACTGGGGCTGAACCTGGCCTGGTACCCAGAGGTGGTAAGTGGATGTGTGTAAGCTGTGAGAGCAGCCTGATCCAGGAAGCCCAAAACTGGCTCTTGACTATAACTTTTCTTGCTCTGAAGTTTTCCACTGGGTTCTGGTGGTTTATTTCTTGCCAATACATGACTCCTTGGCCTTGCTGTACAGCAAAGCATGGATTCAGTGTCACCAAGTATTTTGCTAAACTGATCAAACAAGAGCCACCTGAAAGCAACCTGAAAATACCAATGGGTTGGAGAGAGCAAAGTTTATTTCTGCCCCCTACTCTCCCACCCCAAATTACTTGTTTATGAATTTATTGATTCTTGCCCTCCTGAGCATCAGGCTCTGAAAGTTTCCCATTTTAGCCCATCCTCTAATTTTTCTAGGAAGCAGATGCTTGCCTTGGGAGGGAGACCCCTGAAGTCCTCAGTGCTGCATGTGGCTACAGGCCTGCTGGCCCATCCCAGAAAGGCAGTCATTTGTCTTCAGCCTTCTTGGCCAGCATTTTCCTGTGCAGGTTGCTGTCCTAGAGAGAGCTTGTCAGGAGCTTTGCAAAGATCATGGAGTTATTTCAGGCTGGAGCAGTTTTGCTGCAACTGCCTGATCCCTGAACTGAGCTGTGGTCCCCTGCTGGCTGACCAGGAAAGGGGGTTTCAAATATGAGTGGGCATCCTGGTTTTGTTCAGAGGAGGGGTTATTTTAACTGTGTGTGGAAGATGGTCCCTGATGCTTGTTTGCTAGTGGAAAATAACTGCTCACCCTAGTGTTATCCTGTTAGCTGATGTTCCAAGAAAATTGAGCAGTGCCCAACAGCAGCATTGGAGAGCCCTGCAGCAACAGCTGAGCCAGCTCTGAGAACCAGGCAATCCCAACTGCACAAATATAGATACTCTTGAAGGAAAAATGGGTGTGTTTTCCTCCCTCAGCACCCAGCTCTGCTTTAATGTGACCATCTGTCACCTCGTGCAGAAGAGCCCCACTGTTCAATAAGGGGCTCATTGTTTGGCACTGTAGCAAATGTGCCTCAGCCGTTTGCTCTCTAGTAACTAAACTCTTCTTGCTGCTTCTGAGGCTGATTGCTGACTAAAGGCTTTTTCCCTGCTAGGTATGTCCAGGGAACATTCTGCTAATAGAGGAAATGTTGCATTTCTCCATTAAGGAAAAGCTAAATTTAAATATTTCCTCTGCTGACAATATCAGCAAATGTCTCTCTCCTGTCCTTGTGCATTAATCTAAATCCAATCTACTAATTTATCTCTTCCCTTGCAGGCAGGAGAAGCAGAGATGAGAATAGGGAGGGTAGGAAGAATTTGGGGATCTTCCCTCACACCTGCATGTTCTCCCTGCCACATTAACCCTCTCAGAGCTTTCTAGGCAATGTCCTGGGCAGGGTCAGGGAGACCAAGCTCCCACATTGCTCACAGCCCCTTCTGGGGACGTGGTTTCTTTCCTGCATGTTTGTTGTGCTTTGTGCTCTCTTGAAGTGTCGTGAGCTCTGTCATGCCAGAGTGTCTGAAACAGGGTCACCTCTGCCTCAGTGTCTGAGGGAAGGAGTGGCACAAGGAAGGTCTGACAGCTGCCCCTTCGCTGTGGTAGGAGCAGCCTGAGAGAGGGAACGGAGTCAGGGCAGGAGGCTGACTGGTGTTAAAAGCATTTCTAACTTGGGAATCTCTCTCCTTCAAAGGTGGCAGGCAGAAAGCTCAGGTCCTCAGCACCAGCCTGATGCACTCGGAGTCTGAACTGGACAGTGATGAAGCCATCTTCACGTGGCCTGACCGGGAAAAAGGGAAACTGCTCCGCAGCCAGAACGGCTCTGTGCGCAACGGGCAGGTGATGCTCAAACCCAAGACCCAGAGGGAAGAAGTCCTATAGCTCCCCTCAGGTGACCTCTCACTGGAGCTCGCTGGGAAAGGCCACTCCTGCCCCTGGCCTCCAAGGGTCTTTTGGGGCCGGGTTGATCTGGACAACGCTGCTAACTCCTTTCACAGAAAACAACTTTGGTTTTGTGGGTTTCTTTTCATTCAGTTAAAACTGGTTGTACTTGAATTTGAACTTCAAGGGAAGTAAAAGGGAGGAGAGGGCAACTCTGAACCCCAGGTGAAGCATCAGAAAAGACAAGAGCAGCAGGACAGAACCACTTGAAGCAACTGTGAATGTGCAGGACCCTTCCAGCCCACCTCAGACTGCTGTGGAGCCTTGGGAGCTCCCTGGAGAAGGAAGGTCATGGCTGTGCTCTGAGCTCCCTTCAGGCTCCAGCAGCCTACCACGGGCTACTTCTGCTGTCGAGCAGCTTTCTTCTCTTTTACTCCCACCTTCCCTAGTGGTTTAAGCACTATTTTAATTGACACTTGTCCTTTCACATGCACTGGGCTGCTTTTGGAGTGTAGAGGCGGGGGAATCTAAACACTATGGTCACACACCATCAGCTTGCAGGTAGGGAGAGGGGTTTGTAGCAGTTCTGAATTACTGTCAGGCTTTTCTCATGGGGAGTGTTGGTGACACGGTGCCTGTTCAGGTGTGAAAAGCTGACTGGTCTGTGGTCATGGGCTGGGAGACCCCCTGCTGCTGCAAGCTGTCCCACTGGGTAGTGGGGCTGGGAGGGGACACCCACCCTCAGTACCTGTGTGTAACATCTGGCTTCATTCCAGAGCTGTGAGATGTTGTCCAGTGGCCCCAGCACCTTCCATTGGTCGCCAAGCCGTCCACCAGTCTGGGCATGAATCATATCTCAGTTATGGAACACTATATCCTGTGGTTTGTTGGTTTTTTTTTTTCCTTAAAATTTGCACAACCCAGGCAAGCAGGGTTTGGTACCTTCAGTCCCCAGGAGCTGGCTGCTCCTCCTGGCTGGCAGCTTGGTGGCCTCACATTGGCACAGCTGAAGAGCCCTGGGTGCGAGTGGCACTTGGAGCCCTTCAGGCAGTGGAAAAGCAGACTCAGTGCCCGAGGGCATGGCGTGGTGAATGCCAGCAGTGGGTGGCCCTTGCCCGTGCCCACTCCTCTGTCCTGCTGTGCTGCTTTTGTGATTTGCACTCCTGTCCTGGGGCAGAAATGGGCCTCTCGCTGGCCTGAAGGATGCCACTGCTCCTCTGGGGAGGGGTGGGCACTTTATTGCCTTTCTTTGTGTTTAATTTAAAAACTGGAAACTTGTTTAATTGGCTTTTTTTAGCTACGAGAGCCGAAAGGCTTCAACTTCCTCAGTTGTATTTATATGGCTGCACTACTGACTTGTGTTGAGCTAGATGAAGATTAAACACTATTGAACGTGGGGGCACGTCCCCTCGCGGAACGGAGCCCTGGCTGCTGCTGAGTTTGTTCTCCTGGGCGAGGAGCTGTGTCCCCTGGGAGCCCCCTGCTCTGCCCCACGGGGCACTGGCACCACACCCCCCTGTGCCCCTGCACGGCCCAGGCCCAGCCCCTCTGCCTGGCATGAGCCTTGCCTGGCCCATGCTCAGGGGCACAGCCTGGTGCTGGCTGCAGCCTGGGCCCTGGCTGGACACAGCTCAGGGGTGGCAGCACCCTCTGATGTGCTTCCTGTCCTTTGGGTGTAAGGTTTAACACAAACTAGGAGAAAATGAGGGTTTGATGCTGATCAAGGTCTAAAGGTGCAGTATCAAGAGGCTGGGGCCAGACAGTTGTCAGTGGTGCCCCTCAGGGGCACAGCCTGGTGCTGGCTGCAGCCTGGGCCCTGGCTGGACACAGCTCAGGGGTGGCAGCACCCTCTGATGTGCTTCCTGTCCTTTGGGTGTAAGGTTTAACACAAACTAGGAGAAAATGAGGGTTTGATGCTGATCAAGGTCTAAAGGTGCAGTATCAAGAGGCTGGGGCCAGACAGTTGTCAGTGGTGCCCAGTGACAGGGCAGGGGGCAACAGGCACCAACTGGAACCCAGGAGGTTCCAGCTGAACATAAGGAAGAACTTCTTTGGTGTGAGGGTGGCCGAGCCTGGAGCAGCTGCCCAGAGAGGCTGTGGAGTCTCCTGCTCTGGAGAGATCCCAAACCTGCCTGGATGCCATTCTGGGCACCCTGCTGTGGGTGAGCTGCTGGAGCAGGGGTCTGGACCAGATGATCTCCAGAGGCCCCTCCCAGCCCCACCCCGCTGGGATTCTGTGAAGCTGCAGGGAGGGCTGGGATGCAGCCCTGGGACTGTGCTGTTAGAGGAGAGCTGTTGGACTTTTGCTGATTCTGATCCTTGGGGCTTGTGCTTTCCGAGCCT